CGTTGCATTTTCAGGGGTCCAGCCTTCTGAATGGTTGTAGAAATAGGTAATACATTTGGATGAATTCACCCACCTCTTAACTGTACAATTCAATGGCATTCGGTAGAGTCACAATATTGTGCAACCATCACCACCATCTGTTTCCAAAACTTTCTCGTCCACCCCAAACAGAACTCTGTCCTCATGAAGCAATAATTTACCTCCTTTTATTTTTTTAAAATTTATATTTTATTAGGCCTCGTGATCCAGGGGGTGGAAGGGCGAGGGCGAGCAGGTTTTGTTCTCCTTTTAGTATTGCTTGGTTTGTTCTCAACTTAAAGTAGTCTGGGTTAACTTCCAGCGCTTGGTAGGTTAGGTCTATTAAATGCATTTTCAGGCCGGGCACGGTGGCTCACACCTGTAATCCCAGCACTTTGGGAGGCCGAGGTGGGAGGATTGCCTAAGCTCGGGAGTTTGAGACCAGCCTGTGCAACATGGTAAAACCTCATCTCTACTAAAAATACAAAATTTAGCTGGGTGTGGTAGCGTGCTTGTAATCCCAGCTATTGGGGAGGCTAATCCATGAGAATCGCTCGAACCCAGGAGGCAGAGGTTGCTGTGAGCCGAGATCGGACCACTGCACTGCAGCCTGGGTGACAGAGTGAGACTCTGCCTCCGAAAAAAATAAAAATAAATAAATAGCCTGGGTGCGGTGGCTCATGCCTGTAATCCCAGCACTTTAGGAGGCCGATACAGGTATATCATCTGAGGTCAGGAGTTCGAGACCAGCCTGGCCAATATGGTGAAACCCCATCTCTACTAAAAATACAAAAATTAGCTGGGTGTGTTGGCGTGTGCCTGTAATCCCAACTACTTGGGAGGCTGAGGTAGAAGAATCACTGGAACCTGGAAGGCAGAGGTTTCAGTGAGCCGAGTTTGCACGACTGCACTCCAGCCTGGGTGACAGAGTGAGACTCCATCTCAAAAATAAACAAACAAATAAATAAAATAATAAATAGATAAATAAATAAATGCATTTTCAACTTCTTCTTTTTTTGAGACAGAGTTTCGCTCTTGTTACCCAGGCTGGAGTACAATGGTGTGATCTCAGCTCACCGCAACCTCCGCCTCCCAGGTTCAAGGGATTCGCTTGCCTCGGGCTCCCTAGTAGCTGGGATTACAGGCATGTGCCACTATGCCCGGCTAATTTTGTACTTTTAGTAGAGATGGGGTTTCTCCGTGTTGGTCAGGCTGGTCTCAAACTCCCGACCTCAGGTGATCCACCTGCCTCGGGCCACCCCCCCAAAAGTGCTGGAAGTACAGGCGTGAGCCGCCGCGCCTGGCCAACTTTTTTTTTTTTTTTTGTAGAGACGGGATCTCGCTGTGTTGCCCAGGCTGGTCTTGAACTCCTGGGCTCAAATGTCTTCCCACCTTGGTCTCCCCAAAGTGCTGGGGATTACAGGCATTAGCCACTGTGGCCCGGTCCTGGTTTTTCATGCTGAAGGTGGTTGTTGGGGACACTGCGGGGGTTTGTCACCCATCCTGCTTGCTGGCTCCGTACAGCCTGGCTTCTCTGCTCCCACTCCCAGGTGATGGTGAGCAACCCCCACTCCCTGGGGTTCCAGGCCACCTTCTACGAGAGCGGTTACACGTCCAGACGGGAACCACCCAAGTAGAACTGGTGAGCCGCATCCCCACCAAACCCCGTCGCCTGTGTCCCTCGAGCGGCCC